ACCTGTTAACTTCTAACTAAAAATACAACCAAATATAAAAGTACCGCTTGATTGTTGTATTTTTAGATTTGCATCAAGGAAAGGAAGGACGTACATTTCAACACACTTTCTTATCTATAATGTTTATTACAGCGTATCATGTCAACCGTGGTAATTAATTATTGAAGTTTCCTTAAAGTTACAATTATCTTAATTAATTCGGGCTTAAAAGTTCACCTTAGTTAGGGTCCGCGCGATATGGTTTGCGTAGAAAAGTTAATTGGGGTAACCTTCAAATGAATTATACTATTTTTCAAGATATAGGCTATAATATCATTCCAATAATTATCACATAACTACTTTGTTGGGTCAAATATTGGTTCGGTTGTATATTTTGTGTTTTTGGGGCTGCTCGGCCGACGTGAGCGAAAAGAGGTTCTCGACGTTTCGCCATCACGAACGGACGGCATCATCAGGAGATGTTGTTAGCTCCTCGATTGCTCGAGAACTTATGACTTATTCGCCGCGCCTTACACAACTTATTAATATAATTCGGTTGTGTTTAGAAATGTTCGTTATAAAATTTGTCGTAGCTTGTAAGTTGTTCCCGGTAATAAGCAATAATAATTTAATGGCGGAAATTATTAAGACAGCGGAAGTCGTTAAGATCTTATAGGACAAGAAAATGAGTAAGCCCAGCGCGCGTATTAATAGGTTGTAACAAAGGATTCGTTATTTTTATTAGTAAGTAACTACTACCTGTAGTTAACTGGAGTAGTACATATTTAAATTAAATAAGTTTAATTAATATAAATCGAGTTTTAAACCGTTAAGGTGTTTTATTTAAAAGTATTACTAAAGCAAATGGTAGAGTCGTTAATAAATAAACTGGTACGCTATTACAGAAACACTCACACAGTAGCTCGTAATATTGAATTTCCATCAAGATAAGTTGAGATATGGGTTGTTGTGTTATTAAATATTGGTCTTGTATCTCCAAGTGAATAATATGCGAGCGTTAGGTTATTTGCACTTCGATCCCGCGGGGCCAGTAACAACTTGCCTTGCCAAGCTTAGTTAGTTGCATCCAGTAATTCCATTCGAAGTAAAGTATAATATTAAGTTAATTTTACAGTTCAGAACGCGAAATATAATCGCACCCGTAACCACGGCTGCTATCAAGTATCCAAAACGTCGATTTCTAGGTAGAATATTTCCACTAAAATATTTCGAAGTCGAAACCGTTTAAAGTGTTTTATTTATTGTGTACCACTTGCGTAAGCTACAAACCTTATGTTTCTTCTCAATTAGGTTGACTTCTTAAAAGAATTTAATTTAAAAGGTTTAAATGAATTTCCGTCTAATTTAGTGCATGGTATCAGTTCATTTATTAGTTTTGTCGTAAGGCCAATTGACGATATGATTGTGTCCATCTGATAAAAAAAATACGTCCTGGTAATCGACTCTTAAACTACGCTTATATATAAAACAATTATAAATAAAACTGGGTAGCTAGATGAGCATAAAGCCTTTTCCACTTAACTTTAAAACAAACACTAAAGGATGATATTGAAGAAAAACGCGAACACAGCAAACAATAGCCAACATGCTAACGTGGGCACAACGCAAAATAAACAATTCTTATCCATGCTCGTTAAAGCTGAGATAACCCAATTAACTTTCCTGAGATGAAAGTCTGAAACTAGAATCTTTCTTGATCGCTGGATAAAAATTAAGCCTACTTTTTATTTCCCTCTTGTTTTACCTTATCAGCAGAAATTGTTAAAGGGGTTGATCGTATTAATCACGACTCTTGATTATTGTATTTATTATAATGAGAATACAAACATAATAAAGTAACGGACTATAAAAAATATTTTAAACAGTAGAAATACTGTCTTAAACACAAAAGATTGTGGGTTTTAAGAGAAAATTTGTATGTTATTCTAACACAAGGAACCATTTAAATTTTTAAAATTTAAAATTACTTTTTACATACATTTATAGAGTATTTTAGATTACAACATTGAAGGACATGCTGAATTAGAACTAGTCATGATTATTTACCAATTTTACCTTAAACTATAATACTACCTGTAACAGTGACTTCGTTCGAATCACATTTATATACTGATACCCGCACTGTGTCTCGTCGCGTTGTTCTTGCAAATTAATCTTAAAAAATATATATATAGTGTTGCGGACATTCTAAGAGTAATCATAGTTTTATAAATATTGGTATGGCGCATTGCGGAAGCCACCAAAAATTAATATATTTCCCTCTTTTTCTACATTTTCCAACGGTGTTCGGCTCCTATTAGCCGCATCGTATATATTATAACCTTATAAGTTCCTCGTTAAATGACCTCATAACCAATTAAAAATAATTTTTCAATTTGAATCAGTCGTTCCTGAGATTAGCCCGTTCAAATAAAATCTTCAGCTTTATATATTGGCGTAGATTTACAAATTATAGATAATGAAAATGTCAATGTCAATTTTAAAATTAAGTCTTTAAAAATGTATAAAGTAAACACATTTATTATTAAAAATCGATCGTTTACAGTTTTATTGAAATTAATTAATTAGGTAATTAACGAATGCTTTTGAATATTCACGCATCAAACGGTGGCTCAAGCTAATTAGGGTAAACAAACGGTCCAATAACGTGTTTAAAGCAGTCCAATGCGATATAATAAAATATGCAAAATTTCATATTCAAATTTGATAGAACAAGGTGGTCTGTGGGCGTACACGTTAAAAGCTCACCTGCGCCCAGGGGACAAAAACTCCGCGCTCAACTTTTTGTGTAACAACCGACATTTCGATTAACCAAATGTTGAATTTTTTTTTCCGCTACGGATTTTTAATAGAAACGTATTCAATGAACTAAAACTAAATAAAGCAGGTCGCTATTCCGTCCTGTTTGCTGTGTAGATTGATTGGATGAATTGGAAATTGTTTGTTATTGTTCACTCTATCTTCTATTTATTGTGGCAAACGTTTGATTGCTATATTCAAATATTTACTATATTAGATAAAAAATATAAATGGCATAACTATCAATTTTAGGGTTCCGTATCCAAGAAGACGAAACGGCACCCGATTACAGACTTAAATGTGTGACGGTTTCACCAGGCCGTATCATTTATCAATCACCATAGCTAGATGAGTAAAAACTTCACGAGATGTCACTAAAACAACAAATACTAAAAACATAATAATATTATTATTTAAGGGGGATCCCGGAACTTAGTGCGCGAGTACTGCGGAGAATTGCTTTAAGTTTTTTTGCGTGTCGTTTCTATACAATTATGTAATTAATGGTTCCGTAGTACAAGAGCATATGAAAGCAACGACCGAACACTTGGCCCATTCTTCTAATTCAAATAGAAACTGTTCCCCAGTGTCGTACTTTTATTCCGAACACAAATAGGTCGGAGAAAGCGTGCCGGACGTTCATTAACTTAGGAATTAGGATACCATGCCAAAATTTCCTGTCACTGTTTAGCTAATTTTCAGGCAATTTGTAAGCATCAGTGATTTTATGAGATAAACACGGCCTCTCAATTAATTAAGGTGAAAGCTCATTCAGCGTCTGGTTCATTAGGAGATGGAAAAGAAATAGTTGTATGTTGGTAAATTATTATTAGTTCAATTACATGTATAGTACATGTTAAGAGTCAGGAGTCAGCCTATAGCTACTTTATTAAAACTGTTGTATGGTGTTATTTGCAACAGGTACATTAATATTTTAGAATTTAAAATGTTCATTCGTAACATTTTAATTTATACTTAGTTTTTTTTATGATAGGTTTAAACACAGGCATCCCTTACATTAGAGATGAAAAGCCGTGAAATTTAATCGCGTATCGGTTTCAGTCTGTGGACTTTCAATAAACAAAGCCAACATAGGACGACAGCGCATCTTGTGTAGATGGTAGGGCTGGGGTATTTTACCTCCCATCAAGTGGGATGCTTGTTTCATCTCTATCATAAAAAAATGGGGCTTACTCGATCGGCGGTAAAATACTCCAACCATATGACAAGATGTGCGGTTGACTTGCTTTGGCTATGGTAACTCGGAAACAAACAGGCCGAAACCGAAATGCGAATATATACATTTCACGGCTTTTCCATCTGTGTATGATCCGAACCAAAAATCGTTTCGATTTTAAAAACACGTTGGCCCTGGTGGGAATTAGATCGTCGTCGTCTTAAGTATCAAGTAAGACATTTAAGCAGACTAAAAAAAAACTCACTTTTGCAACTGACTGTACAAAACGCATTAAAAATAATTGAGTTAAATTGTAAATAACAATTTAGATGACATTTATTTTTGGAAACCGGTCACGAATGTAAGCATTACAAATCCATTAAAGATGGTATCAAAGTAATTATACAGTCATTTTCCGTAGTCGATGCGAATACTTTTTGGGAGGCATTTTCGTAAGTTTACTTTTTTTATCAATGGAATGGCTAAAGTAAAAAGTTTTGCAAAATCATTATTAGCCTACTAGGTTTAATGCCAATCGCAGACTACAACTTTTCTAACTATAGGCACCAGACCAGACCTGGCGAACAAAAAAGGATTTGGGCCTGTGTTGGGCTTCTTGTTTACACTCGCATGGTACTTTTTTATGATAGAGGAGCAGGAGGTTTACTTGATGGTAGTTGACATAAGTCAGATAACGCCTAATTTGAAACTCTATCAACCTAGTTTGGCTTTGGATATTCGGAAATCCATAAACCGAAAACCAAAACTCAAACATACGTTACCATTAGACCAAAGAAATTTTAAAAATAATGAGAAAACACGAATAAATGTTCTAATTAAATTAAATATTGTAATTAACAGTGAGTTCTTAAATTGTGAACTTCAGAAGTCGCAACGATGAGTGCCGAGTGACGCTGCAATGCGAAAATTAAACTGCAATGGACGTTAAAGCATGCCGAGCTCAAGTGGACGTTGTGGAGTGGTTTTTAAGTGTTATAGTGGACACATGATGTGATTGTGCGATATGTGGGCGGCGGAGTTCACCTGTGTCTTCATACTTTTCGGTGAGTCGTCATTTGTGTTTCTAGATCCAAAGATGGGTCTACACTTCAAAATAACACTATTAACGGTTTAATACGTGAAATATACGAGTCAACTTATTAAAAAGTTATTTTTTTCGTTTAAAACCGTTAAATTAAAAATCTGTTTAGACTAAACAAAATTGTGACACGGGCGGGACTTGAATTGTGTTACGTACTACGTGGTTCTAACCACAGCTCTGGCTGTGGATACCGGTTCAAGTCCCGTTCGTATATTCAGTCTAAATATATTTTTTATTTATATAATACTTTTAAATAAAACACTTTAACGGTTTAAAACACGATATATTAGTTAAACTTATTTGAAAATGATTTTTAACTTCGGTCACGGGGGGTTCACGGCTGCTGCTAAGCATCCGAAACGTCGGGCGGAAGTTAAAAATCATTTTCAAATAAGTTTAACTAATATATCGCGTTTTAAATCGTTAAAGTGTTTTCTTTAAATGTGTACTACTCGCGTAAACTATAGACACAGTGTTTTATATAATGCCGGAATGTAAATAATATTCATGTTTCTCACCGTTGAAATTGTTGTATTAAAATGTATACTACTCGCATTAGGTCAGACAATACGAGTCTATGCTGTGGGATTTGTGACCGATATTATAATCTTTCTTCATTTGCATTTCCGTGTGTTCGTGATGAATTTTACTTAGTGACACGAGCACAGAAATGTTTTCACCCCATGCCCTAGGGGGAAACGGGATTTTACTTTTTTTTTATTCTGAGTCTGAAGATAACATCAACCTAGTGACCTGCCCAACTACACATATTTTACCTCTCCGTGATTATAATGCAACGGTTCCAACTGAGTTATGAAGGCGGATTAACAAATGTCCTGCTCGTTAAAATTTATAACTATGCACAAGGGGTTTTAAAGGACTTAAACAAGTTATAGGTTATGTTTGATGTGTAACAGTAATTGTATAAAGTTAATCTGTTGTTCTTATTCCCACTGCGATTGAAAAATCTCAGGGATCATAACCCCCCCTTAGTGGGTCCACATAGGGCCTGGAACTAATTGAACTTACTGTTTTTATTTACAAATGAATATGAGTTAAATTTTTTTGGTGTACAATTAAGAATCAATATTATGTACAATTGTACAGTACCTTCGTTTAAATACATTAATAAAATATCTACTTGTTACTTGTATCTCTTGTTATCAAAATTAAATTAAAAGTTTTCACTTAAACACGTCTATATCAACCCCTCCTGGCGTCAAAGCTGGATCCGCTCTTGATCCTAAGTGTCACTTTTAAATTATAAAACATACCAAATTTACCCTGACATCGCAAGTGTTAAATAACGAGCTCTGTCCCAAAGGTTTTTGCAAAGAATTCGCTTTAATTATAAATAAACAATTTTACGTACAGTGCGCTACCTCCATTCATAATATGATTTACTAATGAGGTCACAACTCGCACGTCAGGGCACCTATACAAAAGTTACTGTAAGGGTTTTATCTCTATTTGTAATGATACAAGATAAATGAAGCGGAATAGTTTTGCTTGGGAAATATAAAACCAGCGATCGGGATAACAACGGGTAACCTTTAAGGCTGTGGTCTCCTATTAACGATATAAACTACGTAAAACTTGCTATAAGATATTATTAATCAGTTGGTAAAACAATTTAAAATGGCATCCAAATTTGTTTTTAAAAATTTCCTCTTCATCTTTTAAGCTGTTACCCACGACGCGGACGTCAGTCGCGTCCTACGGGACTTCTTCTTTTTTCTTGCAAGTTATTCTTAAAAGGTAGACGACATATAGTGTCGCGGTAATTTTTTTAGATCATCCAAAGAGGAATCATTTTTTAATATACATTTTTTGTGTATCTTGAACTGTTCTCGCAGTGTATGTAATTTTCCCCGTTTTTCCACATTTTCCGCTGTTTTTTGCTCCTATAAAACACAACGCCATTATAACCCTTCCAAATAAATGCTCTAACCAACACAAAAAAATTCAATTCTAACTAGTAACTCTTGAGATAATCGCGTTCAAACAAACAAACAAACTCTTCAGTTTTTATATATTACATCAGATTTTAAAATTAGAACCGGGTTGCCATACCGTTAGTGTGAAAGAGATATTAACAGTACTTTATAATAGAAAGCGCTATAACGCGTCCGCTGAACACGACTCATTGCGTTTATAAGAGACCACAGCCTAAGGACCTTTTCTAATAACTGTTTAGTTTCGTCGTAACCATTTCCTTTTGGGCGACTATTCCTGTTTGTGTACTCTGCAAACGATGCAGGATGTTGGCGGATAATTTCTGCAAACAGAATTACTCGTTTTTATCTAACTACCCGGAAATAAAGACCTTAGCCATCGCTTGATGTCCACTTGCTCATTAGATATTGTTTTGCCGTTCTATTACGTGAGATTACGTTAAGAATTACGTACGAGCTGTTAAGGTATTCACATCAAAAATTTTAGGCAAATAGGTATTATATTTATTTTTTATGAAAAAAAAAACATTTATATTATAAAAACATTACTTTTTCTTTATTGTCATTATGGAAAATTATACTAAACCGTACCGTCTCGCTTCCTCCAAGCAGAAGCTAGTTACACTACTCTATTCATATAATCCTACGAATAACAAATGTAAATGTTTGTAATACCACTTTTATATTCTATGCCATTGGTTTATTGAATATAAAGCTGAAAAGTTTGTTTGTTTGTTTCAACGCGCTAAAATCTCAGGAGCTACGGGTTCGAATTGAAATTTCTTTTTTGTTTATAAGATAATTTATTGAGGAAGGCTTTAAAACTGTGACTAATAGAAGCGAAAATACAGCGGGAAATGTGAACCAAACGGGGAAGATTTTCATCTTTGTGGGTTTCAGATGCGTACGCTGCAAACACGTAGCGTACGCATCTACGCTGCAAACACCCAAAAAATATGTATCAAAGAATGATTTCTCTTTAAATGATCTAAAAAAATGTCCGCAACACTATATGTCTATCTTTCATGATTAACTTACAAGAACGATGGGACTCGAACTAGTTCTATTTTGAACATGGTAGTTATATTGTCACCGTAATGAATTTAGGTTTTCTTCACTTCCTTACTTCACCGTTGAAGTGATGTATAATATATTTATGCCTAAATTACAACCAGAAAACATTTCGTTTGAATTTACAATATATCTATATACACGCAGAGATACTTGAATGTACATTAAAATACTTGCGCATTATATTTTTGTATTTAATAAGTAATTTCTTACTTATTAAATACAAAAGCATTATTCAATATCAAATTTTGCGCTGTGTAATGCAGTTTGCTTAGCTTGAACAATTAAATATTATTTAAACAAGCAAATACATTCTATTTGTTTTGTTAATTTTGGTACATATGAAATTCAAATGTGAGTTTTGATATTCAGCAACGTTGTAAACAATATAATAAATGTTCACAATTGTCTGAATTGGGTTCGGGAGTGATATATTATAGGAAATCTGGTAAATGTCGTCTTTGTGTAATTATTTTGATAATTATAGATGTGTGTCAAACATGTATGCATCTTTAGCATACGATTTATACAAAGCTAGTAAACTGTTTTCGTATCTTAAGCAGGTATAGAAATAAATATGAATCCGGAGATTACACGAGTTTCGTTCAACCCACGACAAATGCATAAACAGCGCTAACTTATGATGAAAAGATAGTTTCGACTGAGTAAAAAATATTTGAAATGATAGCTGATTATAGTAGTATTTTACAGTTAAGCATAATGCAGCACAATCGTTCAATTGAGTTTATAAAGCTAAGTATGTACAAGAATTTAAGCCTTCCCTTTTTTACTGTACTTTATTTACAGTAAAAAAATACGGAGATTTTTGTTCTGAAAAAAAAAACGCTTAGTAAATTTAGTATAATCGATTCTTTTCTTAAATCCATTTTAAAATGTAAACCTCGAGCAATGTTATTTAATCTTAAAACTTAGGGTTTCTTCAGTTTAAATGGATTTTAACATAGTAAAGCTATCGTATGCTATATACCTAATTTAAACATTATAACGTTACAAGTGTTCAGTTATATTCGTCATAACAAAAATGCATGACATTTGCTTCTGTGATTCCGAATTTTACGAAAGCCCCCATTATAAAGATCCCCTGTGCGCGATAATAATGTATTTTGTTCCTCGTCACGTTCCGTTATTTTTTTATTTCGCTTTTAACGTCAACTACTTTGTAAATATTATTTTGCCCTGTGAACAAGCTGGTGACCTTTTACGCGATGCTTATGTTATACCTCGCTCTATTGTTCAAATATAGAACTACCCTACATTTCGTAACTTTCGCCCTAAATCGCATTTACTTAACTGAAAATTGATTCTAATTATCCCCTAATACAATAACGACTTAGTTGTTTGACTGTCTCCGTCTAACTTAGCGTTAAGCACGAGATGTTCGGGGTTCAAATCCCAGCAAAGGTTATATGATCTTTGGTTTCAATAATAAGCTTATATTTTACTCCTTAAAGTAGTGGATATCCGTTTCCCCTTATAGGGCATGTGGCGAAAACATTTCTTAAAAAAATTGATTCCTTGGGATTCGAATCCAGGACCAGCGCTTAACGCAATGCGTGTCTACGTTTAAACATTTGGTTACAGAGTCTGTTGATATTTTCCGCCAACCAGTTCGTACATTGATAAATTGAATACATATGAAAAATAGTTTTAGAAAATGTCGTTTAAAAGACATATAGTAGTATAAATGAATAGTTAAGTGCAGTTTAGTAGCCATTTAACATAGAGGTTTCTTATTGACAGGTGTGACAGCCGGTGGTGGAGGCTGGGAGCCTCTGGGGCAGCCTTACTTCGATAATAGTACGAAACGTGAGGCCACGGCCGCAGTGGGACAGCCGGCCTATCTACATTGTAGAGTTCGGAACCTCGCTGACCGAGCGGTACGTTATCACATGTAACTTTAATTAACTTAAGTTTAAATTTAATTAATTTAAATAACAATTAAAACTAAAGACATGCGTTAGATGCCGTCTGTAGTTTACGCGAGTGCAAATAAGTTTAACCAATACATTTGGCGTTGTTAACCGTTAAAAGTCTTTTATCTCAACATTATATGCCTTCAACTAAATTAATATATAAAGAAAGTGAAGACTGGACAATGTCGGGTCATAAAAAAGAGGATTACCCACATTTTCTAGAACTGACAGAAACTATCAGATTTCTGTGTCCGACTCGATCGAAACAACTTACGTTTAGAGTTATGACAATAAGGCTGAATTGTTATAACAGTACTTGACTTATATGTAAAGTAAAAAAAAAAATGAGTGTTACTTTACATACGAAGAGACTTAATGAAGTTTAAGGATTATGTTAACTGTAACTACGACCACTGTTTTAAGTTAACAAAACAATGTTATTATTAATTAACACATTGTTAAACAAGTGGGTTGTTCAAGACATAGGTTAAAACAAGCAGCTTTAGGCTTACTCATCGTTTAAACATACACTAACATATACATAGTAGCAAATTTATATGAGTAATATGCTATGTTGGTGTTCAATTTTAGACATTTTATAAATGACTTATGGTCGTGACTTGAGGTGGTTAGCATAATAAACCTACTTTCGTGTTCAGTAATGTCTGCAGTGTACGCTAGTATTACAATATTAAACAACTTATAACAGTACTGTCTATTTTACGCGAGTAGTACACATTTAAATAAAACACTTTAACGGTTTAAAACACGATATATTAGTTAGACTTATTTGAAAATGATTTTTAACTTCGGCCCGACGTTTCGGATGCTTTGCTGCAACCGTGGTCACGTGTATAAAATGTAATAAGTTAAATAATACATTTCGCGTTTAAAACCGATAAGAGTATTTTATTTCAACACTTTAATGTTACTAGCTCTTACCCGTCACGGCCTTCGCATTTTATAACTAATGCCAGGAGGAATAGAATACTGACAGAGAAAGGCTAGTAAAGGAAATTTCTTGAATACGAATTATTTTTAATGATAAAATATTATTTACAAACAAGACGGAGCTTAGGCTACCACCAAAAATACTTCTTAAGCCTTGTCTGTAGTTTACGCGATTGATAGGTACACATTAACCAGTTTTAAACCCGAAATATACTATAATAATAAATACACAACATTTTATTTTTTTGGATACATGGTTTAAAAAGTTAGAGTTCAAAAGAAGGACAAACAAGAACTTTATTATATTAGACTAGATTTATTGGTAGTTGCTTTGAATTTATCGCGACGCGGACGAGACGCTAAAATGAATGCGAAATTATTAAATATTTTGTTCGAAAGTATCTTGGTTAAAATAATGGTCCGTTGTTTGCATTGTGATAGAATTTCCTCTTTGTTTCCTATTCCAATGTGAGTGAATTGAATTGAGTTTTATACCCGCGTTCTATTCACTTAAAAATACATTAAATGTATTAACGTTACCTTGGATCCAAAACAATGGATGGCGACGACTTAACGAACAAGCGTACGGTATAGGCATCGTATTTTTCATTAATATTGTCTACAAAAGAAGTCTTATTGTAATGATAAAAGAAGGCTCCCTTTGTATTTATTTCTAATTATAGTTACATCAATATCTATATACACACACACATATATACACCTACACGTCTCTATAATCAGTGGATTCCACTACATAGTGGCCCTCATCATTACGTTGATAGATTTTAGTAACTAATTAATATGAAGGAATATGGAAATTAAATCCGGGTCACGTAACAACGTCCATAGAGAAACCGATATGTGCAAATCCGCGTTTTAATTTTCAGTCTGTGGACTATCGAATGTCTAAAACCATTTGAATTATATTTTATAGTGTTGCGATATTTCACCTTACCTAAAGTAAACTAAACGACTCATTTTTTATGATAGAGGAAGACAAACAAGCATGGCGTTTATCTGATCAAAGCTGAAGTAGCTGTATACCATCTTAACAAGACGCGCTATCGACCTATTTGGCTTTGGATATGAACGACAAACAAAATTATATGCTTCATAGATTCATTTGATAGGCGGTGGGAAATACTAATCGAGAATGAAAAATGAAAAATACGAAGCAAGGATGAAGGCTTATATAACAACGAATTATTGTAAGCAGGGCTCTTAACCAATATTAATAATTATATTATATAGAATTATATAGAATTGTAATTATAGATTAGACACAAAATATTCTGTTCAACCTACCAACTTATAACGGAAGTAAATTAACCTATAATTAATAAATAATAATTTCTGAACATCAATAAACAATTTAAAATTATTGCTGGCCAGAAAAAAAAAATTACGTATTTTTTATGATAGGGCCTCCCCTCCCTTGTCCTTACAAATGGGATCCACTTGATGATAGGTGAAATACTTCAGTCATATATTCGGAAATCCATGGACTGAATCCGAAATGAGAATAAACTTGACGCCTTATTCATCAGGACGGTTCGTGACCCGCACGGAATGTTTGATATTCCTACCACCCATTTAATAACCAGATTTCCAGTCGAAGTCCAACATGTTTAAGAAGAAATATAAATTGTTTTGAAGCATGTTGGACTCGGTGTATCGTACCCAATAACACAATATGCTGAACATCTAGCATAAAAGTTTTATAGCCATTTCATAGATCGCTGCAACAGCAATTGTAAAAATAAATGCGCAGTTCATTGTTGTCGTTTTACATACAAATAGAGAAATACAGCTAGTAATTTCAATAGCATAATATACAAAGCCTCGAGCAATCTGTTTGCGTTCTAGTTCTGGTTTATTCGGTCTGTGGCGAAGAGACACTAGACAATACATCGACAGGACTGCACAATGGCATGGCGCGTAATTCTTCGCACCTGTTCACAGTTTTCTGAATACATTTTTATATTGGAATGTTTTCAGTCCGCTGCCTCAAGAAGATTATGTCATTTTGCGATCAAAAATTAATAGTTTATCTGTTTCACTGATCGATTTTAATCACTAGCAATACCTATTGTGTTTTCGTAGGATTTGATACCAGGATATCTTGAATTAAGAGGGTTAACTAATATTGTACGTAATACTTGACGGTCTCGTTGAAGTAACAATGCATGGTTAATAATCTTCGGATCGCGGGCTCAATCCCCACTTCAACGTCTTTCTAATCAATTTATAATTTTCCTGAAAAGTGACTTCGTTTGGAAATCTGGATAACAAACGGGTGGTAAGAATATCGGAATTCTGTCTGGGTGACGAACCACCGTCCACAGAGGCGTCAAGTTTATTCTCATTTCGGATTCAGTCCATGGATTTCTGAATATATGACTGAAGTATTTCGCCTATCATCAAGTGGATCCCATTTGTAAAGATAAGGGAGGGGAGGCCCTATCATAAAAAATATGTTTTTTTTCTGACCTGCAATAATTTTAAAGTATTTATTGATGATGAGAAATTATTATTTATTAATTATAAGGTTAATTTACTTACGTTACAAATTGGTAGGTTGAACAGAATATTTTTTGTCAGAATTACAATTCTAATTAGTAATATTGGTTAAAAGCCCTGCTTACAATAATTCGTTGTTATATAAGCCTTCCTTGCTTCGTATTTTTCATTTTCCATTTTCGATTATTATTTCCCACCGCTGGGACTTGCGCTTATTTTATATTGTATGACGTGCCGGTTTGTTGACTTATAAAACCATATTTTACGAAGGAATATGATGTATATTTCAGAATCTCACAATATCCGTTGAAATATTATTATTGGAAATTTGAAACTTGTTGCTACCTCTCTGTATCTGTATTTATAACTAGGGCAAGTCGACGTTTATATAAACAGAGAATTATTTATATTAGAATTTTTTTTTAAGGTACGCTAAGATTGAATATCCAATCAAATGTTTGTATTAAATATCAAATTATAGTTGTGTAATTTATTTTTGTTTGTTTTTATATAAAAACTTATACCGCATATAACTTCGTACCTTAATGGTTAGATACGAGAGGTCCTGGGTTCGAATCCCGGGAAAACGATAAATTGTTTCGGTCGGGCATGGCATAGAAGTCTGATCAACTACCTACCTGTACATATAGCCGATCAGGAAAATGGACAGAATTGTGTACGCTTCAGGCTTGCGGATGAAACGGAATTTCATTAACTTAACTTTACTTTAATATATATAATAGGATACTTAAATTAGGACTTCACTTTACGTTTGCTTATTGTTTTTCCAATATATGTCAAGCAGTTGCATACGTTGAGACAAAATATTATCAACTACTTCTGTCTGTAAAAATAAAAACGGTCACTGTAACAAAATATTTTCAATTCCACGCTTTCTTTATGAAAAACATTTCACCTTGTATTTATGCTTGATTCTTTGTGAAATATAATATTTAATACTCTCACAAAACTGCAGATTATCCGAGTTGCAGTCAGGAAGCGATTTTAACTTTTTAAATCGATTCAATATTAACGGACCGATAAACTTTGATATTTCAAATATAAGCCGACTTATTCGTCTTACAATAGAAAGATATAAAAACAAACTTGAACTCTATGCATTCTCAATTTGAACAACTTAACATTCAAATCGACGTAAAAAGTAATTACAGTTTTAAAAAATGTGAAGACGCAATAAAAATGCATTGTCGATGAAGTCCCAGCCCCACAATGAATTTAATCCAGACTGATCTAGGCTTGACCTATAAAAAGTTTAGTGCAGAACGAAAGAAGAGTTGGGATAGCCCGCTATATCCAGTTAGTTCCGTCCGCGTCGCCGCCAAGCTTTTAAACGCAAGAAACTTTTAAGCCCCGCAGCAAACTGTAGCAAATATAAATCTAGTAGAACTCGATACGCCGATAAATTGAAGAATTGGAAGTAGGTCGGGAAAGCTTTTCGAGCTCTTCTCTTGTGCGTGCATAATAGCTTCGGGGTTTCTATGATAAAAAGCTATATTATTGCCAGTTCACTATTTCGGTAGTTTTCACGTCCATTTATATTTGACAGCAGACATATTTAAAGTTATTTAAAATATTTTTATTCGGGTCACGAAATGGCGTTCTTAAACGGCAATAACGTGATGTAAACGTTTCCGTTAAAATTTATGGATTTCCGCGTGTACAGCATAACTTGACAGCACATATTATTGACGTTTTTTGGCTGCGGTAAGGTCACCGATGATAAATAGTTCTTAGAATCTTTTTATAGTTCTAATGCCATGGTATCTACATCTTGGAATTAAAGCATAGTCTTTTCCCTCTTGAAAAAAGTAAAATAAAATAATCCTTTCTTTAATTTGGTCCGTTTTAAATACCTTAATAGAAATGATACCAGAATACTGCAATAATAAATTTTCAATTGTAAAGAAAATAATTGCATGTAAATTATTTTCAAACGAACGCTATAAAAAACTAAACTTTGCGAAATTGTAAGGCAATAATGTATCGTTAAACATAATTATAATTTACCACTTTAAACGGTTTAATGTGAAAAATATATTATGAAACTTGTGTGGATAAAACGAAGAGCTATAGTTAAATAAATAAGGTTAGCTGTTATTATAAAAATATTACTATATTTCGGGGTATTAAGTATTTAAATGCGTTTTATAAACGTCACCCACACACGTAAACATTAAGTCTTTAGACTTAATTAATAATATTTAAATCTGAGTGTATAAAACCATGTAAAATAGTCCGTAATTTACAACAATTAAGCCTAAACTGGAGTATTTTCATAAACGTGCGTGACGGCGAAACATTAGCTTTAGCAACAAATTACAATTCACGTGTATTTTTTTGTAATTGAATTGTATCTTTCACTTTTTACTTTGAATTCGTTTTAGTTACACATTACAGTTAAACGAATTGAAAATTATTGTGTAATTTCCTATCCCAATGGATAAAACTATTTAACTTGATAATACATAATTATTCATACATACAAATTATGAACAATGGAGAAAGTTAAAAAATGATTTCATCTTTTACTAGAGTAATAAAAAATAGATATAAATTTTCTACTCTATGAATAATGAAGCGTAAACTGTCAACTTATTCAGGAATTCTACAGCTTGAAGCCAGACTTGAAATTAAGATTGAACGGGCTACTTGGATAGCATCTCATGGCTAAGAACTATTTAATTAATTACTAATTAGCTATAAAATACTAAGTATGACTCGGATTAAATTCAACATCATTCTACATATTTTTTCTGGCGTATTCTGAATAACTATTGCTAAAATAGGTCTACAACAACCCCGAGTTAGATGTAATAGGGCTGGGGCATTTCTTTCATCAAGTGGATCCCATAATTGTCATAAAAGACAACATTAAAATATATTTACAAGGCCATAATAATGTTTTTAAGTTTTTTTTATACAAAAGAAAAGAAACTTTATTCTCAATTAATATTACAACTTGCTCCGACAAGCTTGCTCCTAGTATTGCAGTCACTCTAAAATATAATCCTCAGATATTCTATATTTTCTCAAAACGGTGGGAAAACAATAATTTTATTTTCCACTACCAAAAACCTTTGATGGACGCTATTAGCGGTCGGTCCACTTTAAACCACTATTAATTCTTACTGAAATCCGACGCTATAAGTAAAAGTTAACGACTTTAAAAAGGTCGTCACACTTTGACATTTCTAGGTTTCGAGCCCTAGACCGGAAACTAAACTATTCTACCTGTTTAATAAATATTTCATTAATTACGGAATTGTTAAAACGTATATGTACAATGTACATAACTCGTCCATATTAATACGACACCAAACTATGAACAAAGTTCCTACGACCCTTATCGCTGAGCACTGCCCTATTTCGTAATGAGTTCCAGCCTTAAACTTTTTCTTGCAGGTATCGTGGATACGTAAGCGGGACCTCCACATACTTACAGTCGGGGTGCACACATACAGCAGCGATGCGCGGTTTGCTGCCCTTCACGCGGACGGCTCGGATGAGTGGACCCTCCGGGTTTCACCTGCGCAGCCTCGCGATTCCGGGGTCTACGAATGTCAAGTGTCCACGGAGCCTAAAATTAGCTTATCTTTTCGTCTCACTGTTGTCGGTGAGTGCTATTGCTGATTTTAATCTGTTGAATGATTTTAACTTTAACTTCAATTTGTTTCATTAGCTAGGTATAGTATATATAGAGAGAAAAATTAACTACGAGTAGTTGATTATTGATCAAGATTGATATTTTAATTTCATTATTATCCTTGTCACTATATGATAACACACACAGCTAATTCTTGCAAACAAAATATTAATTCTTTATCGAAATTATTATTAATTTTACTGGTATATTTAGGTACATATATAGATAAGATAGTTTCATACACATGATTACTTAATTCAATTGTTCCTGCATATATTTAGGGTATATAGATTAACCACACACAGATGTCGCTAGTTAGATCGATAGTTATTTTATGTCCCATCATGTAGACTGTAGCATATAAGTCTCATATAAGATCTAACGAAACTAGACGAAGATGCAAATGATCGGACTTTTACTGCGTTATAGTGTTATAACGATGTATTTTTGGGACCCTTCTTTTAATATTCTATGTTTTATCCAATGTACTGATTTTGACAGCAGCTTTTCTTGTATTTCATTTTGTAATAAGATGGCGTCACATTTTTCCGCCATTTTGTCGAACAATATTTTGACGGCCATTTTGTGAATAAGAACAAGATGAACACTTTTCTTCTTCGTCTTTCTTTAATCTTCGACTTTTATAGATGAAGACGATTAGAATGGAAAGCTGTTCAAATAGAAATGCTCTAAACGCCTGAACGTGAACATTGCACATATTCAATGGAACATGTGTCCTTTATGCGCATGATATATGATGACTAAAGATAGACACACATCAACCCACATTTCTCAAGAGCTCGCGAAGACTGCTCCACTTGTTACAATCCTGACATACTTTCATCCTCGTCGTACTCATCAACGCTAATGACGTCATTGATTGTATTATTCTTGATACGAACTCAATAATTTTAATAATTATAGAATCGTTTGAGCTACACAGATACAAAAGGTATTCTTAAAATAGGAATGAGGGCTCTATTTAGAAAATTACTATGCTTTAAGCCAAAAGTTTCTACGTTGTTATCCATTTATTGATCTTACTGTTTCCAAAAACAACAGAATAGTAGTATTCTTAGACGAAAAAAAAGAAAACAAAGAAAGAAACACATCTGCATGATTTTTATAAACTCTATATCTGTGTCAAAACACGTTGTTTAGTCTTGGCGTTCGGCAAGAAGAAAGACATTAGAACTCTTAATAATGATCAATAATGTTTTCAAACAGTGTCGAAAGCAGAAATCCTATCAGGACCAGAGCTATTCGTCAGGGCGGGTTCGGACATCAATCTAACTTGCGTCGCGAAACACGCCCCGGATCCGCCGAGGTAAGTGCAGATTAAACGTCAAGCCTACATCATTTACTAAGCTTTACCTTACCCCTATACGCTTCTCAATTTAGGTTTTAACAGCTTTCATTTCTCACTATGTACTTCCTGCGATAAGACCATATACATGTTATATTGGACCACTAAGTGGTAACTGGCCGATAAACAAAGCACATTATAGAAATACTTTAGTCCTTCCGCAGGAATTTGAATAATACTTGGGGTAAAAACCTTAAATACAAAGTCTATGCGGTATTCCAAGGTTCTGTGTATTTACTACAAATTCGTTTTATAAGATTATGAGGACATAAGCAAATTGAAAATTCTAAAATGTATAAGGTTTTGGCGGCCATTTTGTAAAGCTTTGTGATTTTTAAACTGTTCGGCCGTTTTAATCAGAATTAGTTCTACACATGTCATCACGTCTATAACGTTTCGAAAACGTGTTATTTGTTTCTCGACTTAACGGAGACCTCCGTCTTCTCAATGGCGACGGCCGTTGTGCTTGAAAACCTAAGACGTTAATGAATATCAATCAATAAATATGACATAGTTTTGCATTGACACTTTTGTAATAATAATATCTAATGTTCTAACTTAAAATTATCTATATATTTCAGTTTGTAGTTAAGAGTAGATGAACGAATACATTTTGCGTGTTGAAATATTAAAAATATTTTCTTTAATATGTACCACAAACGAACTTCAAACAATTCTTAAAAGTGGTTGAAAACTAAATTATAAAAGAAATCTAAAATATTGTACTTATCTACAATGTATTGAAAACTTCAAAAATACAAACAAAATAAATTTCCAGTCCAATTGAACAAGAAAACTGACGAATTTTATGCTTATAACTTACGTTTATACATAGCTTTGAACTTGACTTTGAAACTAAATTTGGCGTTACTTTTAAATGTTTAAATTATGAATTGTGTACGGCTTTCACGGCCATTGTTCAGCATATCATTGTCTTTCGGGCTGTTCGGCCTATGTGAGCGAGAAGAGGTTCTCGACGTTAAATAGTTTTTCGAGCAATCGAGGAGTAGGAGAACATATCATGATGATGCCGTCCACACGTGATGGCGAAACGTAGAGAACCTCTTCTCGCTCACATCGGCCGAACAGACCGAAAGACAATGATATGCTATTTAAATTATGATTTAATATTACAAACAATATAACATTCAAGATATCTTTGTCCGAAATGTTACCTACTCGTAGAGTTTGAAATCTTTAATATTTTTCACAGGTGTGCATGATATAAATTAAAAATCGATTAGATTTATTTTTTTTTTCCAATTTATACTCGTATTTTACTCATATCGTCATTAAAATTAACAAAGAATATATTATACACTAGCCACGTAGAATAGTTATTTTGAACATCCAAATTTGTTTTTGCAAACTCAATAGCAACAATTTAAGATGCCCATATCGGTCGCGTCCCGTCGCGTCGTTCAGATCCCGTAGTTCTTGAAAGGTAGACATATAGGTTTTGTTTTGTTCACATTTCCCACTGTATCTTCGCTTTTATTAGTCACAGCGCGATATTTTATAAAGCCTAAAGCCTTCCTCGATAAATGATCTAACAAACACAAAAATAATATTTCATTTCGAGCCTGTAGTTCCTGAGATTAGTGCGTTCAAACAAACAAACTCTTCAGCTTTATATATTAGTATTAGATATGGCATTTCTATATGCAGATGGAAACACACATGATTAATTATAATTAGTTTTTATTTTTCTTTTTTTTCATATGGTTATACAGAAAGTCTAAAAGTTGTACACCGTTGTCACATAACGCGGTGGCAACATATCCCCTTTCCGCAATAAAGTTCACAAAGCGAATGTAAACATAGACATCTGTAAAAGCGATCTCTTTGGCACGCAGTCATTTTCAAATTCTTCTCCTAAGAATAGCCTTTTATATATGAATAACAAAATGAGATACACAAGCCGACACGCCAAAAATTGTCTGTTGTAGAAAAGAAAATGATGTTAATAAGTTTATAGACTTTATTCTCATACCATTACTTCACGTAAAATACGATTAACAAAAAAATACTTAAAATTTATTTCCATTTATTAATTTATTAAAATTTAAACAAAAAATGTACTACATAGAATATTAAAAATACATAATAGTCGATACTTCAAATCCGTCAAACTATTTCGGAGATTGGAGCCGTTTCGTTACTAACACTATGGCACGAGGATTCTATACAGTTGTGGCAAATCTACGATATGCAAATAGAGTAGTAATATCAGTAAAGTAGATTTTCCCTCAGTATTCAGGCCGCGCGTTCATAAACACGATAAGCTTATTTTCTGATAAAAGGGTGCGGGTCCCTAAGTGAAGTATTCTTTGCCTATCGCCATTTAATGGAACCATGTGTCTGAGATCTCAGCGAGCCCTTAATTTAAATATTCATAGAATGATATGCTCCGCGTGAAAAGAAATATTTCTCCTCAGGTAATTTATCACCCGCTTAAGTTTCTGGCACATAATTTCGCCTTTCGCTGTGTATTGAATAAAAGCCAGTCTCCATTCTCTTATGCAGATTCACATACGACCATACCTTTTATTTCCTTTATATCTATTCTGCTTTACAACTTTAATTACTCAGCAGTGCCTAGTTCACGTACGGTTTATCATCTATGTGTAACGGAATAGAAATTCATATAACATTAATTTTAATTACATTCTGGTAAAAATATTTTCTTCATTTTGCGCAAATGGTACAAATTAAATAATTTTGGTAAACAGCATCCAAAACGACAATAATGATTATTTATATTGTAACTGAAAACCCATTTTAGAGATATTTCGTTGTTGGATATAGGTTTGAGTCTTAATTGTGTCATCGAGTAATATGAATGTTCTAAAACACTTGCTATTTAAAATGAGTTTGATGATGAAACTGTTTTTTTTTTATTTTAACAAAGTATATACCTAAGAATAATACAAAATACTATTCCAAAAACGAAAATCTTAAAATAAACCAATTCTGAAGTTTTAATTTTTAAAACATTACAGTAACAACAAATTTACAATTTTTAGGAAGAGATGCCATAAAACTATCCTAAAAATCGTTTTACAGATTATGTATGTATAAAGTAAGTTTAAACAATAATATCTAAAAGGAGTTAATATTTAAACACTCATACTCACGCAGTAAAAAGTCTAAAAAGTTAGTTAGGTCCACTATCTTGATACCAACCTCTAAAATGATAATTACACGTTATTTTATAACATTGTAACTTCATAAGCAATATTCATTACTTAGATTCAATGCTTTAAATTTCACGTCTCTTTCTAGCCGCGAGGGGGCTTTCTGTTTTATCGTCGTTCGTTTTCGAAAGACCGGCATTGCGACGTATTTAATAGTCTAGTTTATACGCGTCTAGCAAAGCAACTTCCACTACGGGGCAATTCACATACTGAATAAGCCCGCATAATGCTAACAAGGACATTGTTTAAACATTTCAGCATAAATAGAACTATATAGCTATTTTCTTAGTAAGGAACATTCGCTTGATAAAACAATAATATCACTAGACAACATGTTTGATCAAGAATATAGAAATATTATTGAAATAGTCCATCTTTGCTAGTAGATATTTAAATGCTGTATAGTTCGGATATCTACTTTTTTAAGTCAACGTACGTTAAATTAAATCAGTTAACTCTTAAACTAATTTATTCATTGCTTGTTTCTCTAAACATTTTTGAATTTATTACTATAATAAAATATTTAAGCCGAAAGTTCATTCGGCTGTCTTTTCATCCATATGGAGCCATCATTAGATCTACTCCAAACCTATATTAAATTGTAGTATATACAATGCTAAAAAAAACTAACACACTAATCCCCGTGACCACGGCTGCTGCAAAGCATCTGAAACGTCGGGCCGAAGTTAAAAATCATTTCCAAACTAGTTTAACTAATATATCGCGTTTTAAACCGTTAAAGTTTTTAATATGTTGTATTGTATTTAAATAAACACTAATTCCATTTCAGTTTCTCTCTGGTCCATGATCAATCGAGAAGCTGTTTTTTTTTAATCGCTTAAAAAGCCATGAAGCATCATTGGTAACAGGATAAGATCTGCATATCAACAATTATTCCTTCTAACTCAAAATCAGTAACTGTTTGTTGATTTATAACTTGGCATATGCCGGAAATAACATAGAATAATTAACAAAACACAATAGGTACGCAGTAACTAGGCAGGTAGTATTGGAGAGCGAATTTCGTTTGGATGAATACAGTTAATTTGCTACCCTATTTGATTTCGGTGTACAATCTGATAGCTAGTGTCATGTTTACATGCGATTGATTCATATTGTGCTCTGAACGAATATTCATTCTATATTTTATTTTGTTGTGAAATCCCGTTTCCCCATCGTGGGGCATGGGGTGAACACATTTTTGTGTCCGTTTCACTGATCGATTTAATTTACAGGCAAGTAGTTGATCAGACTTCTATGCCCTGCCCGACTGAAACAATTTTTAGTTTTCCTGGGATTCAAAACCAAGACGCGCTTAATGCAAGGCAATACGTTTAACTATTTGGCTACAGAGGCAGTCAATATATATATTTTGTAGATATTCAGAATCAGAGAAAACTGGCCGATGTTATGATCTCAATTGTACGTACGAATTCAAATTTTTTTTAAATTAATTTACCCTGTTCAAATATAAGGTATAATTGAGCGTTCTGGTTAATTTAATTATGCCATTGTAACAAAAAACTCTAAAGCAATTAATGTTATAATAATAAAACATTCGTTTCTTTGTTATTAAAACGCTTAAGTAGCAGCTTATATGTTGAAAATTTTATCATTATTATTTCATTAATGTAGAAATTGAAGTTTAATTACTATGTAATTATTAAATCAATAGTAAACTTATAATTAAAGAATCACGTACAACATTTATTAACATGCATCGCTTTATTGACTTAATATTCCTCGCTGTGGTATTTAAATACGTTTTAAACATAAAAATCCTTTGAAACCACAGACATTAAGAAAAGTAAATAATAACTGTTTATTAAAAATATTAGAAAGCCCTATACTCAATGCTTATAAAATATAATTACCGTATTTGTTTAATTTCGAATCATTCGGCTTCACATTCAATATTTACAAATGGTAGGTGTCCTACGACGTCAAAATAAGATGTGCTGTTGGCCTACTTTAGTTTTGGATATTCGTAAATGTCTGTGGAATTTAGTTTTACCTACCCCCCATTTAAAATCCGAATTTAAAACGAAGTCTGATATTTTTCTAAAAAATAATAAATTCATGAAAATGAGATTAGATCCAATAAAGATCCCAAGACCTATTGACGCCGCTCACGTAATGGCTACCTTTAAAACAACGTCCGTCTTACTTCAAAGCGAAATTCGTCCTCTTAAGTTCTCACCAGTTAAATGTCCGATCTATCGATAATCTTCTCTTATTTGTTCCTAAACATAAAACCTATTTCTTGAATGATTTTGTTTAGTTTCTCTCTTACTTACTGTGTATACTTTTACAAAGTACTTTTGCTTTTTGTTTATTATTCCTACACTCATTCGTTACTTAATAAGACTTTTTTTTATTTCTTTTATCCTGTACTTCACGTTGCCTAGAAGAGATCGCAGCTTAACGATAGCTTAGCCTTTTATTTATAAACTAGTACATAAGTTTAAATAAAACACTTTAACGGTTTAAAACGCGATATGTTAGTTAAACTCTTAAACATTTTTAACTTTTGTATTGTATATGGTATATATTATAAATAATATAGATGTAATAAATAAAACGTAAATTCTAATTATATGATGTTTTTAATTGTAGCTTTATCTACTGGTATCGAGGCGAACAAGTTGTAAACTACGCTCAACGTGGAGGCATCAGCGTGGAAACAGAACAACGAACGCGAACCAGCCGATTGCTGATAGCCCGCGCAGCTCCTCACGATTCTGGCAACTACACCTGCGCTCCTAGTAGCTCTGGTAAGAGAATATGTCTTTAAAGTTATTCCTTTGCACATATCTGAAACTTTGTTCACTGGCAGGCATTTTTTAATATATAAAACGCCTAACGCCATTTCAATAATTTATAGTCCTTTCGATGTTTTAGTGATAGTGAAACAGTCATTGTTTATTTACTATGCGTTATTATATTTTTCTCAGTGTCTCAATTCTTGATTTCTTATTAAATGATTTGCATGTTTAATAAAATTATTTCACACTATTACTCATCTATCATCTACATAGACTCAACTTTTATAACGAAATATAAACGGTGTTGAGAATCACCAAATAATGTTCCTGCAAAACATCCGAAACGTCGGGCCCTAGTTTAAATAAAATAATAAAAATGTCTTTAGTTTACGCGAGCAGTACAGTTTTTAATAAAACACTTTTACGGCTTAAAACGTGATATATATTAGTTAAACTTATTTGTGTTAACGTCGGGGCGTAGTTAAAATAATTTTCAAATAAGTTGAACTAATATATATCGCGTTTTAGTTACCGTTAAAATGTTTTATTTAACTGAAATAGGAATAACTTAAATAATATATTTCGCGTTTTCAACCGTTAAAAGTGTTTACATTAATCGCTTGATACTCAAATTTTGATGGTAGTGTAGCTACAAAGGCACGGTGGCACGGCCTGTTAACGGCTACAATTGTCAAGTAGTTCAACAATTGCTAAATGAAATAAGGTCGAATAGCATGCATTTTATATGGTATTGACATATAATTTTTTTGACGTCGTATATCACAAGCAGTCTGTTCCTTTTAAATTTCGTAAACGTTTCGCAATTGTTGTCTTGGCTGCTGCCTCTTGTCACGTACTAAATTGAAAATCGCAGATCAAGGAAATGTTTGCTTCTGCGAGAAAAGTATACATAACACAAATACGACTAATCTTCACTATGGAATATAAAACAACCTATCTATGGTCAAATTTGTTACCAATGAATTGCGTGAGGTAAACAAAACGATCCAATTCGATCCGTCAGGGCACGGATCAAATGATCCATGAGATCAATAGACACAAACATGTGGTTGCCCACTTCACTATACCTTAAAAACAAACAAATAGAAAATATAAAACAAAAAAGAATAGAAAACTATTGACAGTAGGCGAGGATTGACAAATGTTCAACAAAACTAATCCTGTAGACAGCGTCGAACTACAAACAAACTTTTAAACAATTCATATCTTTCTAACCGTGTCTGATATTATTTGCTGCATTTTTATAACGAACACTTTTTCAAACTTTCATGTCGACTATTTGGGTCGTAAAAAATGTATGGTTGAAAAATAAAAGCTATTGCACAAACAGAATATCGAGTCACTTTTGACAGGCTCATCGTGTCAATGTTAGCTATGTTATGATGGCTTAAACAACGGGTCGCGGGTTTATTTTCACTGGGTCTGTAATTTTTTTTTTTAACTAAAAAAATCTAAAGACAGAAGAACCCTTATATTTTATTTTAGTCCGTAGATTTTCAAGTGTCCAAAGCCAGAATAGGCTAACAGCGCATTGTAGTGGAACTTTCATATAGGTGAAAATAATCAACGATGAACAATCTGCGATAGAAAATTATATAAATTAACAACTAAAGAACTTAATACTGTCTGTAATTTACGCGAGTACTACAAATATAAATAAAACACTTCAACCTATTTGAAAATAAGTTTAACTAATATATATCGCGTTTTAAACCGTTAAAGTGTTTTAATCAAACTTAATAAATATTAAAATTAATTCTTATTACCACATACTATAACAATAATATTTTTTATTAATAGTAAGCTTTATTTTACGGTTAAATGTGAGTTTCTGTGCATCACAATGAAACAAAGCATTGTTTTAATTAAAATTTATCGTTTGTAGACCACAGAGTAAATTTCCACGTAAAGTTTTGAATAGAATACACATGCATAATCTGTTAGACTTTATTTGAAAATATATTTTTCCACAACAATAATTACTTTCCAAAAGTCAAATATCTCCCAATATAGCTGTTTTATTATCAGCACTAACAATAGTTATTTAAAGGTTATTACCAAAACATTAATGGGGTTCTTCAACATATAGGACAAACACTGTTATAAGACAAGTAAGTCAATATGTCCCAAGAAAATAAAAAACAGTTTTCCCCGGTATTCGACCGTAAGAACCTCTTGTGCTTAACGCAATGCAAAAAAACATATTTAATAACCTTATTTATTCTCTAACGCCTACTCTCGTCTCTTATGTATGCTTGTGGAAGGATTAGGGATTTAGATCCAAAAGTAAGGAAGACCCACCGCACTGCTTTAGCAGAATAGGTGGGTTTTATCGACTAACGATGGAAAATTAATCATGGTAAGATGTGCTCATATGCTGAACTTCATTCCAAACTTATGGGACAAGAAAAAAGTAAAATGGTGAATTCGTGAAAATAATATAAACATATTGTCCGACGCGGGTAACGTAGCTAGAATTATTAAAATTTTATCTGTTCCTACATAGTATTCGCTACATTCGGCAACAACTCGGAAAGATTTTTCGTAGCGTAAGCTTCTCAACGACGTTTGCAAAACATTGTGAGAAATTGTGCCTTCGAGGTCAAGTTCTACTATTATGGAGAGTTATAAAAGCCTTTAGTATTACGAGAATATGTTTCTATTTCGGAGAAATGAGGTACTTCTTAATATTTCGGTATACTTTTCGGACTAGGTTTTAAAATGGACTTAATATAGATGCAATTATATATAGTTCTATTGTTTTATAAACGAATCAATTTTTATTTAATAATATTTAACGGTTTAAAACGCGATTTATATTAGTTAAAATTATTTTAAGTACATACGGCCCGACGTTACGGATTCTTTGCAGCAGCAGTGTTCACGGGTAGACTGTCGTTTCGAATTTGCAAATTTTTCTGTTTTAAACCGTTAAAGTGTTATATTTAAATGTGTACTACTCGCGGAAACTACAGACAGTTAAAAATATTGCTTATCTCTTTGTTTCTTACAAACTAAATTAATGTAGATTCTAATTGCTTTGCATTCTTGAGGCAAAATAATATGACTTGTTCAAGTGTAATATTACTTTGAAATGAGTTACGAGTGCCTCATCGCGATTAAGAAGTGACAATCGTTCGGTGTTGGAGCCACAAAGTTTCTACTAGAACTCTATGATGAATGACAAAACTTTACCCGCACTCAGCTCTTCCAATGGCGCCATGGGGTTACTTTAAATTTGAAATATGATTTTTATCGTTTTTTGAAAACTTGTCTCTGGTTTAAATTGAATGGTAAAAAGTGATAATGTAATTTGTTTGCAAGCGGTCACGGATATCGGAATTTAGAAACGGGCCCTAAAGAATGGATTTTTTATAGTAGATTACTTATCATTTTTCTCGTAACCAAATTTGCTTATATGACACTATTTCAACTTTATGTGTGACAATAATGAAGTAAATTTTGGCTCTTTAAGAGCGCGATGAAATAACTAATTCAAATTGTTGTTGGCCTTTAATGAACAGTAAACTAATAACTACTAGAATTTGTAAATTAAAAATACGTAAAAAGTTAAAGCCCGTTTCCCCTCGTGGGGCATGGGGCGAACACATTTCTGTGTCCGTTTCACTGATCCGTTCTTTTAAGGGGCAAGTAGTTGATCAGACTTCACAAATTTTTATGTTTCCCTAGGATTCGAACCCAAGACCTCTCGCGCTTAACGCAATGTTAGGCAATACGTGTAACCATTTGGCTACATAGGCGGTCAAAAATACGTAAATTATAAAATAGATAAGAATGGCACCGACTGGTGCCATTCTCACATATCAGCTGTGCTGCTGAATGCTTGTCGAACTCAGCAGCACCGGTTTGCAGACTGGCCCGGGTATAGTAGAAGACGAGTTAAGTTTATAAGATGAATTGATATATAATGAATAAGTCGCAAATTGAATAAAACCAAAACATAAACATATATAATCATTCTCTTTCATTAAAGACGTCTACGAATTACCGTAGACAGTCTGTCTTTACAGACATTACAATTGTGTAATTATATTCTTTTGTCTACAGAATCAGCATCAGTAATCGTTCACGTGCTAAGCGGGGAGCGACCTGCGGCTATGCAGAGTTCCAGTACATTATCATCCAACCTGAACCCTCTCCTCTTAAGCATAATATCCTCATTTACTCTACATCAGAACATGTACACTAGCAACACACCCGAAATCTTTTATTACCTAACTAACTTCGCCACTTTAAGCTACATTTTCTTGAGTCAAACTATCTCTATTTTTCTACGAAACACGTGCGGTTGTATCCTCAAAAATTCAAGATGACCGTCTATACTGTAATGACATCCAATTATGTGGAATAACTAGTTTCAAAGCTATAATTTGATAGTAAAATTAATGAGTTTTAATTATGGAATTCTGAATACAACGACTACTAAAGACTTCGGTCGAAAAATAGTTTATGTCAATTTTAGTTCGTAGGTTCGTTCGCTTTAAAAAAGATACATGCGATGTATCTAACAATAGCATTGTAAATACAATATAAAAGTTTAGAAGGATATTGATTCATATAAATGTCTATAAATTAGAAGACACCAAATTAAACTGGCTCTACAGTATCATTCTTAAATGAAAATACGACCGTCATTAATTTTTTCAGAAAAAGCTTAAGTTACTTTTATTTGCTAAATGATGTTGTTTTGTGTTTTCAATTTATCAAAGTTTTTTAATAGCCGTTTATCATAGTATTCTATAGACAATTCTTGCTATTTTTTACTATTAGCAGTCATCTAAAAATACATAGAAGGTAACCACGAAAAAAGGACAATACCACTAAAATATCTCTCAGGAATTGAATTTTTCTAAGTACCTACATAAAAATAAAATAATTGTTACTATAACGTCTAGGCTTGTATGTTGAACATACAAAGAGGTATGTTTTTTTTAATCTTATTCAATCTGTGGTTAATTTATAGTGGAGTTCTTGAGTTTTTCGGTATACGCTATATCGTATATATGCTCTGTAATAAAATAAATATGTTAGATTTTGACTTTACAAGCCTTGCATTTTATACCGACGTCTTTTTTTAGATACAATTTAAAAATAAATAGTAAAAATATTTTGTTTATACTTATTTTACGTGTCCGATGAAAACGATACTGTATTATAAAATACAACGTCTTTGTGAATATAGCTTATAAGAGTGTAAATAAGTTGTAAATAGTTTATCTGTTAAAACTATAGCATACCTAACTATTATGAATAGTAATGCTAAGCAAGACATTGTACTTATTTGTCAAGTTCTATTTAAATTGTAGTTAATGAAAGGGTTGTGTAATGAACTATCAAGTAGATATTACCGAGGTATGTTATTAAAATCTTTGTAAGGAAATTATAATTATTATAGATATACAATTAATAAATCTTTGGGTTTTTATTTCAACCCTAAATATAAGTAGTATTTAGTTGCCATTAGTAACTAACTATACATAGGTAAGTTGAAAGTGTTATTTTTACTTTTTTGTTATAAAACTGTTAAAGAAACTTAAAAAAGTCTTAAATATGTCTTTAATAGTCTCACATTAAAGAAAAAAACGGCAAAATATAAAAATAGCTTAGTTTTTTAATAAATCAAAAAATATAGATATTTTCGCTACAAACTAATGGAAAAGCTAGCAGCTACAATTATTTCCCTTTGCTGTATAAAAACAGCGCGCCTAATTGGAAAAGAAAAGTGTGAAAATCAGCAGGAATATTTTAAAAACTGCTGATATAGTATAAAAAGGTAAAAAATATAGGAGAAGCACTCAAGTAAAAAGTATCTTCCTTTGAATAGAGGGTTCTCTAATTGGACTATTAGCAATGTAATAAAGGTAATTCTTAATATTTCTTAATTTTCCTAGAAGAGCCTAAAGCATTGAATTAAATCATTTTTGTTATTTAGAGAAAACCAATGATCAAACCCATGTTTCATGTTCATGTCAATTTTCTTAAAAGCACATTTTTTAGCAAATCATTATCTAAATATTTTAATTATAACAGAGAATAGCAAGGTGATGACGAAATTTCATTATTTCTAACACAAATATACAGCCCATATTTTACAAACAGATTGCAGAAAAATTAGAATGATGATATTAAAAGATTAGACCTGAAAAGAATAGAACTCGCAACCCGTCAATTTTAACCCATAAATTAATACTACTTACTGCGAGTATAGGGCCATAAAACATAATTTTAATTTAGTTACTCACATAAAAGAATATTATAATTCGAGTTCATTCTTAATATAAAACGAATATACATAATGTGATCTGTACAAAGCCCTCTAAGGGGTAACTATGCTGTAGCTTAAAGCATATTGCATATTACATGCCATATCTTGACTGTATATAGAAGCAAAGATTACCTAGACTCTAGAGCTTAGATTACATACACTAATCATATTAAGAAGAAAAGATAGTTACTATAAACGTCAAGTAATTCACAGAACATACTGTCCCGTTATATTTTGAATAATGAAAGAGACAAGGATAGCGCGCATTTTATGAAATATGAAATGGTTCATATCTAATAACAAAGTTTAACTTTGGATATTTAAAAATTCAGAGGGTGATACCAAAACCTAAATTGTCAGATCATGGCTCTTTCATCTTTCATCTATGGACTTGTAAAACCGCCGGAATTTTCGCTATCTCCTTTTTTTATGATAAAGACAAGCATGGGACTCTCTAGAGCTCTCAACGAGATGCACTGTCGATCTATTTTGGCTTCGGATATTTGGAAAGGCAAAGAGTGAAACTGACACGCGAATTAACGTTTTTTTTGCATTTTTTTATCTGTGGACAGTGATTTGTAAGGCGTTCGGAATTTTCGATATTTCTATCACCTATTTAATATGCAAGTCTCCATATGAAGTCCAACATGTTTCTGAAAGAATATAAATTGATAAGGAGCATTTCAGCCCCAATGGGGATCGAATCCACGATGATTATTAGCGACGCATCGCTATCATTTGTTAGCTATGCATCGCTAATATGTTCACTTAAATATATTCACTTGAATCCTACATGCAAGCCTCGATTTTGAATACATGGTGTTGTCGTTACGGCGCACGACGAGCCTCTGGACCAACGAGCCTGTAAATATAATTTAAGCGCAAATGAAAAGTCAAGAGCTTAAGCCGATATAGCAGTGAATTACATGTGTGAGGGCTCTAATAATCCTATTACTGCAAACACGAGGATACCAGCGATGAATTTGAAATTGCGCCGTGAAAGAGAATCGCTGTATAAATGCGATATTTTTCAGTTTGGCACAAATTCGTGGTTTGTACATTTTGCTAGGTCCGAATAGCGTTTTCGTTTATATTTGTCATGTACCGGCGCAGTCCCTGGGGTGGCGAAAGTTACGGTCACGTTTTGGGAATATATTTTTACTATTCGCTTTGTGACCTCTCTAACGTCGAAGCCTTTTTCGCTAAATTGGAAAAATCTTTTTGCTTCAATTCACAAACAACTTTTGTGTAAACACTTACGCGTTCGCGTGACCCCGGGTATTGAATAAATTCGAGGATCTGAATTTATTAAAAAAGTCTACGCGGAGGAATATAAAATACCGAAGCTACAACTAAACAAAGGGATATTTTGCTACAAATTGCCATCGTATATTTTCCTAGCAAATATTGTTATAATCTATTCTACTTTACGTGCGATAATATTGTGTTTATGCTTATATTAAATAAAACCGAAAAACAGTTTTCTATCAACCGGAAATAACAAATCCTGTCTCTTTTTGTTTTCACTCTTCCAAACTTCAGACCCTTGCTATATAATGAAAAGATTTACATGTTACTACTTATGCCAGATTGAATTAACAAGCACACACAGAGCTATCGTAATATTGTTAACTTCTTAATCATCTCTTCATAACGCACAAAACAATACAAACTCTATAATCGTCTTTAGGTACAGAAGAGTTTGTTAAGAAAAACCTTTAGATTTAGTATTTTTTATGAGATATATATTTTAAGATCGAATGGCAGGATAGTTTTCTACTCATACAAAAATGTAAAAAATAAAATAAAAAAAAAACTTTAATTATATTATGGAACTAAATATTTGTAAGGGCTATTAAGTTTAGCTAAGTACACAAACACCATAGACTAAAGTAATTAACACCCCTACCTAACTCAGACTCACCTACACTCGGCACCAGTGCAAATATCTTGCAAAACTACTTTAGTTTCTGTTATTTAAAACAGGCTTACATTTAGAGTGGTTCGTCTACAATCTACATTTAAGTCCCAAAGTGGCTAATTAGTATACGTTCACATTCACTTTGACCTATATTTAACTCTGAGAATTCATTAGAGTATAGAATATATAATGGTTCTAGAAACCTGCTCAAATAATGTACGACACTTTTTGTTATATTTGGAAAACAGCTTCATTTAATAAAGGATAAAGCAATGATGTTTTTACATAAGGAGTTTCTTATGACTATATACAGGGTGTTAATGGAACAGTTTTGAAAACTTATAAGGGCATATATTAGGGGCTAAAAGGTGTAATATGGTGCTATTTATTTTCATTTATTTCAAGACTTTTTTCAAAGTTTAAAATAGGAGTATGAAATGTACAGCGTTCAGCCAAGAAGCATTATGACCTACACACCCGCAAAACGTTTCGTGAACAGCTGATCAATTTAAGTAGGTTAGGTATTTTTTATTTCATCTTAGCGTATAGTTGTAATATTCGAAAAAAGCATTTAGTATACATTAATACAACTTCAAATAAATAAGAAAGACAAAACCACCATAGCAAAACCGCAATGAAAACTGCATAACTTAGACGGCCAGCAGACGAGAGGTCCCTACCTTCCCCAGTAAATTCTCAACACCTCTTTCGCATTACCAAAAGTAAACCTAAATAAATTAACATAATGAGATACTCACGTGCTGGTTACAAATTCGACGCAAGCATTTTAAATAAAACTAACACACCACGAAATATCACAAATTAAATAAGCACAAAAAAGAAACCAACTAAAAAGTAAATAAAAACAATTTAGAGAAATGAAAGAACAAAACTAACTAAGACACTAAAAAACGAGATAATTACGAGTTCCTAAAATTAGCAGGAACGTGATGACGCAAGAAATGTTTACCGGCAACTAAACAAAATTTAAAAAGTAGTAGAATAGGTATAGGTATGTACCTCAATACATTCGAATATCGGTAAACTATAATATCGATAAACCACTATTTATTGTTCCGATAAATTTATTTGTTCCATGTACATACTTCTTATTAAAATAAAACTCT